TGAGTCTACCAGGTTGATTGCAGTCCTCGGGGGAGGACTTGCCCTGGAGGAGGTGGGAATGGGGGGTGGGCTGGGGGTAAGGGGAGGGGGTGGGGGGGGGGAGAACAGGGGAACCCGTGGCTGATATGTAGACCTGAATGGTATTGTAAAATAAAATAAAAGGAAACAAACAAACAAGCAAAAATAAAAAAGAAACACACACAAAAAAAGAACTACCTCGAGATACTCGTTTTCCATACACCGCAAAGCAAAAGATACCAAAGAAAATCTTACTTCATGCAAAAGTCTTATTTTTTCTACAGCTTATATATGTTTGATCACTGAAAAGGAACATGATTTTGTAGTTATCACACTGAAAAATCACTGGCTGCGTGGGGTCACTTACTTCTGTGCACATCTAGCATGAAGCCATGAAAATGGACCCGGTTTTTTCCTCTTCATTTCCACATAAGCATAAAACATGTCCATCATCATTGTTTTCCCTGTACCTTAAAAATATTAAAATAAAAAATAAAAAAATTTAAGAATACCATTTAAAAAAAACAACCAGAATGACTTATGATTTCTTTTGCTTTGTGACTATAAAAGTTTGTATCATTTCTTCCACAGTGGGGCATGTCAGTCAAGGAAACACGAATCTGTATTCTGAGCCATGTCCACTCATCTGCCTCAGCAGAAATTCTTAACTCTCTTTGGAGCAAGGGTTGTGTTGTACCAATTCATTAATATCTCAGTAAGTGGAGCCTTCTTGTTTTGAATTCAGAGTGAGGCAACACAACTAATAGTTAAGTAAAAAGAATTTTGACCCCAGTGAATGAATTCTATCTTATTCAGTAAAGGCAATTCAGTCAAAATTTCACAACAAAGAGCTTCCTCCAACTGAATGTTCAGGAAAAGATCGGTTAGCCAAGATCGTTCTGAATCCCAAAATGAATTTGCATGTGTAAAGATTGTTTTCATGATGCTGTATAATAATCCTCTTACAAACTTTGACAACAGGATGGCCCAAAGACGAGAGGATGAGCCACATCAAGTTTGTGGAACCTCAGAGAAGTCCTTCACAGAGCAAATCAATCTCTACGTCCGTGTCTCCCCGGCTCTCCGTTCCTAACCCGTGGTACTCATCCACAAAAGGAGTTTAGTGACGTTTAAAGGGTTTAGAATTTAGCATTTCGGCTACCAAGCCTGGCCTTCAGTTCTCTGGGGATTGCAGTGTGCTTTAACTTACTGATCCTGACAGATGTAGCCTCAGGGGAAGCCTGTGCTGCGTCTGTAAACGGGCTGTGTGGACTGCGGTGTTGTGTTTTCCTGGTTTGCTGTGTTGATTTGAAAGTACCTTGTGACTACTTGCTCTTTGCTGCAGCGAGCCCCGAATTGTCCTGGGCAAGCCAGGCCTGAGCTGACTTGAAAAGGTCCTTGACTCCTTGAACACTTGGAGAACACGAGGAAGGAATTTCTTAGTTTACCTACAGTACTTGTCTTTTCACAAAAACATGCACTTGTGGATAGTTTGTTATTTGTTATGTGTGTATAGTGTACGACTGAGTGTAAGTATAAGTGCACATGCGAGTGTTTGTGAGGCTGAAATCAAATCATCACTTTCCACTTTTTTTGGGGGGAGCGGGGGTTTGAGACAAGGTTTCTCTGTGTAGCCCTGATGTCCTGGAACTCAATCTGTAAACCAGGCTGGCCTTGAACTCACAGAGATCCAAAGTGCTGGGATTAAAGGGACGTCCCTACACCGTCCTTACTTCCACTTTATTTTTTTAAAGATAAGATCTCTTGGCCCAGAACACACTGGTTGGCTACACTGACTGTACATCAAGCTCTGGGCATTTGCCTGTCTTCTGCCTACCCCATTGTGCCACCATGCCCAGAATTTTTATTTTATTTTATTTTTTTCTGCTGGGGATCTGAACTCAGGCTGGAGTTGCCTGAGTGGCACCCTGAAAGAGGATGGTCTGCAAGAGGACCCCTGGAAACAAACCAAGGGTGAGGACCAGGTCCAGCTAGCACTGCCAACTCCCCTACCTCGTCTCTTCTGGGCCCCAGGCCCCATCCCTGAACCCTGATTGACTGTTTTCTCCTTTGGTCAACATCTGTCCATCACCCCATCAGCGTAGGCCCAGGGCAGGCCTCACAGCAGTGGAAAGTGACCGTTGCCAATCCAGGAACCGTTCTCTTTCCCTAGTACCCCTTCCCCTCCCCAGGCGCCTCCCCTCTTCCAGTGGCCCATATCCATTAACATTTCATAGACTTTTAGGAGCAGTTTAGACCCGCGTCCCTTAGCCTGCAGTCTGCGAAACCCCGCCCTCGGCCCCCCGGAGCAGAAACGGGGCGAGCATGCGTATTGTGCGGCCCCACCTCAGCGTTGCCTTGGTGATCCGGGATGGACCACGCCCATCGGGCTGAGTGAGCTTGAGGGTCCGGGGTCCCGGGGCCACGGGTGTGACATGTCATATGCTTTTGGTGCACCCGGGTTCCTGGTCCCTGGGTAAAGGACTCGGTTGGCTGGATTTACCCGAGGGGACCTCCTTAAGGAGGTTGGGGCGGTCCTGGGGAGGTAGGGGAGGTCAGAGACTGAGGGGACACGGGCTGAGTGTCGGGGTGGAGGAGGGCTAGGGGACAGGGGACTTGAGGGACTCGAGCAGGCAGAAGGGTTGGAGGAGGGTCTGGGGGCGGGCCTGGGGGCGGGGAGGGGACGGCCGCCCGCAGCTGACCGCCCCTCCCCGCCCAGTCCTCCGCACCGTCCCAGAGCCGCGGGCCGAGCGTCCTCCCCCAGTCCGGGAGCGACGCTGCGCAGAGCGGTCGAACCCCCGAGATGTGGAAGCTGAGCCGGAGCCGGGTGCTTCTGGACGAGCCCCCCGAGGAGGAAGACGGGCTGCGCGGGGCACAGGCGGCTGCAACAGCCGCCCCGGCGCCGGTGAGGGCACGCGTGGGGGCGCAGGTGCGGGCCGCGCGCGGGGTGCTCCGGGGGCGAGGTGCAGGTGGATGGGGCTGAGTACCCGACGCTTCCCGGGGCTATGAGGTGACTTGGTCCTGGAGGACCCCTCGGATGAGTGGCCCGATCCTGCAGATCGCGGGCCCCAGAGCCAAGCCTGCGTGGGTTACCGCGGGGCGCGCACCCGGGGCACTTTCCGCACTGGCTGGCGACGCTGCCCTTCGCTCAGCTGCCAAGGGCTCTAGGGTTCGCCTGGGACTCCAGGGACGCGGGGTGACCGCTTCCAGGCCAGGTGTTTCTATTCCGGGTGGGAGAAACAGAAGTCCTGAATCATGGTTCCCCGGGACCGCGGTTCGCTCACACTGAAAAGCTTTTGGTGACCATAGCACACGCAAAGTGTGCTAAATATTTATTTGCATAATACGTATTTCCTTTTTTTTTTAATGCCTTTGATTCTCTCCCCCCACCCCCACGCTCCCCTCCGGAAGAAAAGATCAGAGTCCTTTATACAGAAAAGGCTTTGGCCCGACAAGTGTAGAGATATGCTTGGAATGTCTAGAATTTTTTAATTAACGTGATTCCAGGTGGATCTGTAGGAAGCTTCCCCACCTACTTTTTCAGTGCGGGTTTTCATTCCCTTTCATGTACTATGAAATTTAGGTCACAAAATAAGCCAATTTTAAAGCATAGAACGATTTTGTTATGTTTTTTGAAATACATTGTGAAAACTGTGATGATATAAATCTTTCCAGAACTTGGAAATAGTCCCGAAACTGCTTCTTCCCTAGTTGGAGCAAAAGAACATTTGTTAGGAATGAAGTTTCATTTAAAACATTTCTTGGGAATTTAATAACATTGCCTACTCACAGACATCCGAGTTGACGACTGTAAGCATTTAAGTATGGTTTCTGTCGGAATTTACGTTTGAGAAGTTACCTTTTGGTATTCCTAGTGCTTACCTACTTTGTATTTCTTAGCCTTCAGATTTTTATAGCTAAATGGCAACTCTTAAATGCAATAATGAACATTTGTTTGTGGTCTTTGGATTTTTTATTTTCTTCTAGCCAGTAATATGTGTTTAAGATTGCTTCGTGCGTCTTTTCATGGTTCAATATTACATTTATTTTTGGTGCTGGATAATATCCCATTGTCTCTGCAGACCAGTTCCCCCATTTACCTGCAGAAGGACATGACATCTCAGTCATGCTTCCAATCTTGGACAGTTGGTACTGGAGCCTCTGTAAATGAGCAGGGTGGACTTTCTGTAGACGCACCATTTCAGCTCTTAGTTAACAAAAATGGGATTGTTGGGTTGTGTGGTCAGAGTGCATTTTGTTCTAGTCTCTCTCTCTCTCTGTGTGTGTGTGTGTGTGTGTGTGTGTGTGTGTGTGTGTGTGTGTGTGTGTCTGATACACGTGTGAGTATGGACAGGTGTGCATGTGGAGGTCGGAGGTCAGTTCTTGCTTTCCACCTGCTGGAGCTGGGTCTCTCTTCACCTTTTTACCACACGTCCACAGCTTACTCCAGTCTAGCTTGTGAGAGGCTCTGGACCATTCTCCCATCCCCCATCTCCCATCCGAGGGATGGAGGTGCAGATGCACAGCTCTGCGTCTGAAATTGACCTCTGGTCATCAGACTTGCACAGCGGGCACTTTGACCTGCTATGCCATCTCCCCCACCCCGGATCCCCACCATCAGCAAATGAGGAGCCACTGTTGGTCTGTCTTGACCTGCATTTGGCATGTCGGTGTTCCTGGATTTCGGACATTGTAGTAGGTATAGAGTGGTATCTCACTGTGGCTTTTAATCTTAACCCCCACCAAGATGTGGCGCATCTATTCTCATGTTTATTTGTCAGCTCTGTGCCCTGTTTTTAAATCTGGTGACTTGTTGTCTTATACATTTTTTTGGATAATGGTCCCTTATCATCATATGTGTATCTTCAAGAATTTTTTCCTCCTCCACCGCTTATATTCTGATTCTCTCCACAGTGTCTTTTGCAAAGTAGAAGTTTTTCAGTGAAATCCAACTTACCAATTATTTCTTTCATGGGTGTCACGCCATTGTTATATCCAGCTTATCAATTATTTCTTTTGTGGCGCAAGCCATTGCTACGTCCAGCGTCGATCTAAGTTAGTTCCTGTTGTCGTCCAGTTATGAGCTGTGATTTTGTTTGTTATGTTATTAAGGATGCATATAGTATAACGTGTTCAAAGGATGATGCTGTAGAAAAATAGGTAGCTGGGATGGGTGGTGCTGGCCTGTAATCCTGGCACTCCAGGGACGGAGGCAGGAGGATCACAAATTCAAGACCAACCTAGGTTATACAGCAAGATGGAGGCAACTGATGTTCTGAGACAGATTTGGAACTTAGGAGCACTGATCCGAACCAAAGCTAACTTCTTCCAAAATGAAATTTTAAAATCCGTGACAAATCCATCATAAAACTGCTTCCTACAACGCCGGGCGGTGGTGGCGCACGCCTTTAATCCCAGCACTCGGGAGGCAGAGACAGGCGGATCTCTGTGAGTTCGAGGCCAGCCTGGGCTACCAAGTGAGCTCCAGGAAAGGCGCAAAGCTACACAGAGAAACCCTGTCTCGAAAAACCAAAAAAAAAAAAAAAAAAAAAAAAAAACTGCTTCCTACAAAAAGTGGAGAAAAATAGGAATTAATATGTGGATAGGATTGACGTTTCCTCTCATGTTTAAAATATGTTTTCTGATGTTTCTCTTTTAGTCCTTCGACTCTTCCTCCCCCTCTAGAGGTTAGTTCATTGTTGGAGCGTGCGGATGAAGAGCAACATTCTGATTCTAGAAAGTGCTCAGTTACATCCGTGTTTGTCCTGTGCACTTCCTTGAAAAGCAGGCCAAACAACTATGGCCTGCTTCTGGTGTGTGTGTGTGTGTGTGTGTGTGTGTGTGTGTGTGTGTGTCTGTGTGTGTCTGTGTGTGTTGAAGAAAAAGTAGAACAATGCTCTGTTCTGAATAAGTGTGAAGTGTGGGACACTCAGTAAATAATAAATAAGTGTGTTCTAAGTAAGTGTGAAGCTGGGCGGTGGTGGTGCACACCTTTATTCTCAGCACTTGGGAGGCAGAGGCAGGCAGACCTCTGTGAGTTCAAGGCCAGTTTGGTCTACAAAGCAAGTTCCAGGACAGGCTCCAAAGCTACACAGAAAAACCCTGTCTAAAACAACAACAAAATAAAAATAAATAAATAAATAAATAAATGTGAAGTGTGGGACATTCAGAGTCACTAACTCCAGCTAGTTTTACACGTGGGAACAAATTCTCTGCACTTTAGATTACTGGCTTTTTGTTGTCATTGAAAATAAATGTCTTATGGGTAGCACTAACTGGACTTTAGTGAGTTGTCAAAAATATGGACATAAAGTTGGGAAGGGACTGTATTGGGTTATGAGCAAGTTAGAGAGGAATTGGGTGGGTGATATTGCATTTCATTGTTTGCATGTTTGAAATCTTAAACAATAAAAATTATAATTGAAATAGAAAATAAAAGATTAAAAAGAAAAGAAACATGTTTGCATTAAAATATAAATGTAACTTAATATAAATATATAAGAAATATAAATTAAGTGAGGCTCATAAGGAGGCCTATTCATTGCAGCCACTCTGTAAGGGGAGATATATTTTAATGAATCTGGTATTTACTTTAAAAATTAAAATTGACGATGTGTATAGTACAAGATCTCTGACTCTTGTCAGGCTGTAGCTTCTTTTTTCTGTCTCAACAGATGTATTATTAAGGTTTTTTATATATCCATTAAACATTTATGCAAATATATAAATATATTTAGAAACATGCATTTGCTTTTCAACTGTAGACATTTATATGTATCTTGAATTGCTCTTTCTCATGATAATCGGTCTAATGAAACACTTCCTGTGCTTAGCATCACTAGCTAAAAGTCACTCAAGACTTTGTGGTACCAAATATTATTAAATAAATTTGCCAGTATCTGTTTCGGTCTCTTCTCAAAGATTTGAGTCAGTTTTTAAGACTCCTTTCCTGACAGGTTTTGTGGACCACAAACAGAGTATGTAGAGATACCCAGTATCGGCACGATTTAGACAGGCTTCTCCCTACCTCTGAGCTAACTGGGAATTCACCACTTAAGCTATAAATTAATGAATGCCCTTATAAACAAGCTTTGGGAAAACCATGACACATTTTCATGTTAATTCTTTGAAGGTTGAGGTGTACTTACAAACACTGACATAAATCCATCAACCAATCAGATATTTTAAAATTAGATTTGATGATGGGAAGAGCCGGCGTGACCATCTTTGTTCAAATTGCACACACCATCCTTTCCAGGTGCTCCAAGGGCTCTGCCGAAGGAGGCTTATTGATGTGGTTTTGGGACAGAAGGATGGAGGACTGTAAACTGTAACGTTTGTGCTTGGCTTGACTTCTAAGTCTAGTAAACCAACGCTGGTGTCCTTTTTGATGGAGTCAAGTGTAAGATAAGGATAAGACACACAGTTGTCCTTCTGTCCCCACCTCGCCTCTATAGCTTACACTTTATTCCATTTTCCACGAGCTATTTTCAAAAGCAGAAGTGAATACAAGTCCTTGCCAATGCAAGATCAACCTACGGACGCCAGATGAAGATTTTCATCAGTGCCAAGTGCCCCTTCATTCTCTGTGTGTTTCTGTTTTCATGGTGTATGATTGTCTTGACCCATCTGGGTGGCCTCAACAAAAAGATAAGCTGAGAGCTTACACAGCGAACATTTATTTCCTGGGGTTCTAGAGGTTCCAAGTCCAAGATTAAAGTGTTATAGATTCTTCCTGTTTATGTTGTACGATTATTCTTCATATAAAAAGTTAGCAAGGCATAATTATCTTAGTCCTCCTATAACCTGCTTTTCTCATTTAACTTACTATTGTTAAATAAATGTGACAGTGTCTGTCTGTTAGGTCTTCT